CTGACCTCTAGTGACTTTAACTTTGCCTCTGGTCTTCAGGTCAGATTTATTTATCAAAATCCAAATAATATACCACTACACAAACTCTTCACTAGATGACTTCACTATCAAATAAGGGTCATGTTCCCACCCAAGAGGGACTGTCAGGAGTCTTGTGCTAACAGAATAATTTAGCTTCTTTACGGATGAGAATAAGTCAGTCTTCTGAGCTCCTAAAATCTTCCCAGTTCTAGAAACTCCCTCAGTCTGAAGCAGGCTTGGTTCAGTTTTCTGAGCTTGGCTCCTAAATGTAGTCAGGATTGTGAATCTTCTCTTTTCATCTCTAAGCTACTTCAGGAGTTTTCAAAAAGTTTGTTTTTGTTTTTCTAATTCACACATACAGAGAAAAAGAAGTCAACATTTCTTGAAGCCAGTGGGTGGTGAATGTCGGTGAAACTGGGCCACCGAGGAGGGAGCCAGATATGGAAGGGCTGAGAAGAAGGCAGAAGAGAAACAGCACCCATGGTCCCAGAGGCCGAGCTGAGCAGCTGTTCCCTGCTTCTGCTTGGGAAATGAACCAAGGGCTTCTTGCAATTGTAAGCCTGTTCACTCGGCCTAGCATGTGTCAGGCGGACATAATCCCGCCGTTGTAAAACAATGCCAAAACAAAGACTAACAAGAATGAAGGGACTGGAGACAAGCTTTAAGTCCAGCATCATTAATTTTACAGTTAAGACTCTGAGGCTCAGAGCGGGAAGGCACTCTGCCCAAGGGCTTACCAAGTAGAAAGTGAGGATTTGGATCTCAGGTTGCCTGAGATCTGTTCCTGCTGTGCTTTGTGTATGAAATGTCTCTGGGTGGCTTATGTATGTTGAAATCTTGCTTCCCAGCTGGTGGAACCAATCACTGGGAGATTATTATATCAGGAAGGCTCTGACCTAATTAATGGATAAGCCCATTGATGGTGCTCATAATCTGCTGACATTATTGGAAGATGCTAGAAAGGCCTAGTTGGAAGCATAGTTTGCTCGGAATAAGGACTGCTTCCTTCCTCATGGGCTCTTTCACGGCTACCTGGCCATGTCACTTGTACCTGTCACCATGGTCTTCTCCCGCCCCACAAACCCTAACGCGATGGAGCAAGCCAAGTCAATCAAGGACTGAAATCTCTGAAACTCTTAACCAAAGCAAATCTTTCTTCCCTCAAGTTTCCTGTCTTGGGTATTTTGTCATAAACACTGAAAGGCTGGCAGTCACAAAGTTTCCCCTTTTAAAAGCCTGTCTTAGTGTACCCACTAGCAAATTGTGCTCCTGTGTCCTCAGCCCAGGGTCTTAGAGGGAAGAGAAATTACTAAGTTTCTCAGGGATACCAATAGTGGCTGCAGTTCACAAGCCAGGGGGGAACGCATTCTTCCCTCTGCTCACGAGAACCTCAGATTCTAGCTTTAAGTTCAACCTTTGCTGAAACTCCTCTCCAAGATGGTCAGTAAACAGCAAAAGAAATGGCGAGTAAAAAGGTGGGGGAGGAGTAAGGGGGTGGAGGCAGGTTGGGGAGGGGAAGGCTTGGAGGGAGGGGAAACTGTTCAATAAGAAACAGAACTGACTGTAGCAGAAACCCCCAATCTGAGCATGACTTGAAGTCTGCTCTGTGCTCTAAGGAGACTGGTTACTTGTATGCAGGGATCCCCTTTGCAACCTGTGGAATCAGGGGGGTCTAACCCTTGCCAGCCAAGAGCTAAGGCAGTGGCTCTCAACCTTCCTAATGCTGTGACCCTTTAATACAGTTCCTCATGTGGTGGCGACTCCCCCAACCAGAAAATTATTTTTGTTGCTACTTCATAACTGCAATTTTGCCACTGTTGTGACTGGCAATTTAAATATCTGTGTTTTCTCATGGCCGTAGGCAAGCCTGGCGAAAGGATTGCTCAGACCCTAAAGGGGCCTTGACCCCACAGGTTGGGAGCCACTGTGCTAATGACATATTTAGACCCTCCGTTTCTGACCCTGGATAAGCCCTTCTCTAGACCCTCATAAAGTGTGCCGGCTATCAGGTTCCAACAACCAGTTGAGTTTGGACTCGGAGAAAATATTGCAACCATGGATTTCTTCCGGGGAACTTTTGGTCAGAAACTCTGCCGAAATGCCTTCCAGCTTTGTATCCAGATGTATGCATTAATTTATTCTCTCCAGCCAGGAGCCTCCAGCTTTGCTTTGCAGAAGTCTGTGCGTGCCTTTGAACTTCAAATCGCTTCCAGATCTTGTGTCTGTGTTGTGAGTGAGTGGGCAGTGGTCAACCCAAAGCGCCCTGGGGCTGCATCAACAAAAACAGCTACAGAGTCTAAGAAATGGCAATGGCTACTTTCCCTGACTTTTTCCAGCTTACCATCTGGTTCCAAAACACTGCAATGATCTCTACTATTTTGAGACCCTGGTCTCCTCCTCTGGAGCCTGTTTTGTCTGATACTATAGTGTGTGCAGACTCCTGGGCAGGGTTCACTGTGCATTCATCTGCGTAGGATTCAGAGGACTTCCAAGGCGGGTAGATGGGCTTCCCACAAAGAAAGTCCCAGTGTTCCATGCTCCAGATGTGTGCACACACCGCTCCATGCCTATATGGAGCTGTTAAACCGAAAGCGCGGCTTTGGAAGCATTCACCACAGATACTGGAGAGGAGGCAAGGTCTGGAGGCAACACTCTGGCTCCGGAAGGCTCTGTGGAAGGCCTAACACTAAAGTCCAGTATTATGTGCTCCTGTGGCGCACGGTGGATTCAAACGGCCTCAGTGCCCCTTGCTCTCTTCACTCAAATCTCATTGAAAAGTCCCCTCACCATAAACTTTCCCTACCACAGCGACCGAGAGCTCTCCCTGCTTCCTTCTGACTTTCTGTGGGGTTCTCGTTCTCTGCCAGCTGGTGGAATTAGTCAAATAAGTCCACAGAATCACAATTACTTCCCAAATCAACAATTCTTATTTTCCTGTTGCAGTTAGAGACACAAGGTCAGATGACTTCTTGGGACTGTGTACTCTGAGTCCATGCTAGAGTTGAGATCCTGCCAGCTGTGGGCAGCTGTTGGCTGCTGAGGAAGAGACGGTCACTTTCCCATGGGGATGTGATCCGCAGGTATGTTCCATGACCCAGTGCATTGCCTCATGTCCATGCACAGTCGACACAACTGGACTTTGTGGATAATAACAATGATGCTGATGCTGATAGTAATAATAAAGATATGATAAAAAAAAATCTAGAGGGAGGGAAGTCGGAAGTCCTGGGGGGAGTCGGAAAGAGATAGCGGGGGCAAGATAGGATGAAAATACTTTGTATAAATATATGCAATTTTAAAAGAATTAATAAAAATATTATTTTTTTTTCAAATGAGAGTCACTAAGAGCATTTGTTGCTTTTGCAGGGGACCTGGTTTGATTCCCAGCACCCACATGGCAGCTTAAAATCATTCATGATTTCCGTTCTAGAACATCTGATATCCTCTCCTGACCTTCACGGGAACCAGGCAAACATACAGCGCACATACGTACATGCAGCTAAAACACTCATGAAATAAATAAAAAAATATTAATCGTAGTAAAAAAATAACAAAATGCAGTACCATCAAATGTATGGATTTTCTAGTGTCTGACCTGCTTTGAATGTCAGGAATGTGGACAGACAGGGGACGTGACTTCTTCTCCATCTGTAAAGTCTTGTTAATGATCCCGAAGCAGGGGATTTTTGAATTTAAATTAGAACCTGAGTTCAATAAAAACAATATCCTTGGGCCCAAATGCACGCCAGAGTGTTGACTGTGAAGAAACCCAGCCCCAGGAACCCTGAGATGCCCGGCAGCCCCAGCCCCGTTAGTTCATTTCTGTGATTTCTCTCGCTGCTATTTGAGCAACTTCCTGCCACTGCTGACATCCAGCCAGTTGAGGGTTGACTCTTCAAAGTCCTTGCATCTGGGAACGTCGCCCTGCCCCTGAGTGACTCCTCCTCCACGTCCTGGGCCTGATAGCCAGACTGTAACTTTACTACAGTGTGTGGAAATAGCAGACGCTCGCACAACCCTGGGGAGTCATGCCCGGCCTGGACGCCTTACTCAGCCCGGCTCATGTTGCCCAGGGATTGTTCCACCACCCCTCCACCTTTCCACTTCCTATTTCACGCTGTCTGCCACCCCTTCCAGTAACCTCTCCAGCTAGAGTTGCTCGCATGTCCTCTCTCTTCCAGCTACCAAAGAAAAACAAGAGACCTTCCAGATGAGTCTCAATCCCTTCGTGCTGCGTGCGCAGCACAAGACAGGTTTCCCCCAAAAGGAAATCATTTTTGATTTGACAGACTCTGGATTTTGATCTCCCAAATTCCCAGAATTAGAATTTTCCTTTGAAGGCGTAGACTCCAAGCATGGGGGAAAACATCAAAGAAATAAACTGCTAGTTATTCATAGTGTCAGCAATCACGATGTTCTTTGCTTTAATTTTTGTTTTTCTTTTCACGTTTGTTTTGTCGGTGGCATGTGTGTGTAGAGGTCAGAGGACACCTTTTCCGTTCTCTTCCCCCGTGTGGACTTCAGGGGAGATTTAACGACGATCGTCAGGCTGGGTTGCAAGTACCTTTAGTCACTGAGCCACCTCACTGACCCACGGTGCTCTTTTTATTTCTCTCACTGGAGGTTGCTCCTGATCATTGCCCACAATTTCTCTAAGTTGTCACATTGTTGTATCAGGGGACGTAAGTTATCAATCTGTTTGGATGGCAGAGCTCATATTTCTCTCGGCCTCCAGGAAAAGATGCACACATAAAATCTAATTTCATAAGGATTAAAATAGATACACATATAGACATATAATTACCTCTAATAACACACACATACACGGAATTTTTTAAACATTTTTAGTTATTGGAATTGTAGTCATTATTTATTTATTTATTGGAAATAGGTTTGTTTTCATACTGCATATTCTGATTATGGTTCCCCTCCCCCAAATCCTCCCAGATTCGCCCCGCTTCCCTACCCACCCACACTCTTCTCTTTCTTTCTCATAATAATACAATGACAATTTTTTTTAATGTACCTGTTGTAACAACTAAACCATGTCACGGTATATTATTTGGATTTTGATAAATCTTGCCTGAAGACCAGAGGCAAAGGTAAAACCACTAGAGGTCAGACAATGGTGACACATAATCCAGGATTTGGGAGAGGGAGACGGAGTCAGGTGGATCTGTGAGTTCAAGGCCACCCTGGGCTATACACGATCAATGCAGAAAGAAATTCAGGTGGTGATGGCTCACACCTTGAATTCCAGTCCTAGGGAGTCACACTCCCTTAATCCCAGCATTAGAAGGTAGTATAGTAGGAGGAGAGAGAGGCTTAGTGTGCAGTCGCCTGGCCTTGGTAGAGGTGAGACTTCTCTAGTGGCTTGGTTCCCTTGTTTTTCTGGTTTTCAGGTTGAACCCCAATTTCTCTCTCTGGGTTTTTATTATTCATGCTACAAAACCATACAAGGATCTAAAGCCTAATTAATACCCTTCTAAATAACTGTTACTTCTCTGGTCTCTCAGTGGGAGGCACTCATCCCATGGTATTGTGTGCACTATGGGTAGTGGTACTGCTTTCCATCAAGATGTGATCATAGTCCATCTATTAGTGGCCTTCAGTTTTATTTTTCACCTAAAGATGCTTCATGAATACTCTCCTCTTCCTCCCAGCTGAACTAATGGCTATTGGTGGATTCTAGGCGGTGGTCAGCTATTGTCTTCAGTTGTGTATCAACTAGCTAGTTCACCAGGCTCCAGTGGATAGTCCTAAAGCTGCGGTCAAACAGCATCCCCGGTTACAGAGTCATTCTGGCCTGGACCCCTGTATCACAAGGCAGTGGAAGGGTTTGGAACAGGATGAATATTTCTTAGACTGCAAATACACATTTTTAGAACCCTTTGTAGGTTAAGCTAGCGATGAGTTGTTTTTTTTCTCTTTTCCTTTTGAGTCTGTATCTTACCATATAGCACACTATGGCCTGGAACTCACCATGTAACCTAAGGGGTTCTCAAACTTGCAATTCTCTTGCTGTGGCCTACCAAATGCTGAATCAACCATGTCTGGCCCAGAAATCTTCTGTTTCTGATGCGACTGAGTGATCTGTTAATAAAACATATGACTGTTACAAGGTGACACTGAAGCCAGCAACTTACAGTCAGATTATACTAGTTTAAAAACTTCCTGTGGCTTTCACAAGTATCCCTAATTCCATGCTTAAAATTTCTGTCCCCTAAGAGTTATTAAGCCTTTAGGTATACATATATTGGGCAACTTGTCCCGACCAACAACTCTTAGCCAGTGAGGAAATACGCTCACTCTCATGTCAAGGGATCTGTGATCTAAAGGGAAGAAGAGACAAGGGATGAACAGTTCCCCATAGTTAATGTTTGGATAGAGATTGGCATAGAGCTGAAGGGCTGTCCTCAGGAGCCCCTGCAACTGTGCAGCCCTCCCCTCTTCACAGTCACTGAGAATCCTTGATTCTGAAGTAGACAGCTGAGGGTCCCTTCGACTCATTTCACCTTACCTTGATTCGACCAATCCCAAGTTCTCTAATTACCGACTCCCGTCTCTCCTCAGTGGCTTTATCAGAACAATTTCACTTCAATGGTTTCCAGGTGCAATGTAGACCGGGGCATGAGGAATTCTGGGCTAGATTATGAATGTGTTTATAGTTCAAATCACTCACTTCATCTAGTGAGGAAAGCCACGAAAGTCTGCCTTAGGCCAGAAACGTAGCCTTTGCCATTTGCATAAATAAGAGCCCCGCTTAGAGAGGAGAGGCATCCGGGTCTGAGGTGGATTTCTGAAATCAGGGCTCCGTTTACAAGGTCACTGTGTTGTGCTGTTATGTTAGCAATTATCACAGAGGAAGTTAGTCTGGGATCAGGCCCAGATTTTCCAAAGCTGGACTTGGAAGTGGATTTTCCTGTTGGTGACAGAAGGATTGACGCTTAGCAGCGCCTTTTGCGCAACCGCGGCAGGCCTGGTAATTCTGGAGTCTCACTGAGGATTCAGGATGGTGAGATTGCAGCCGAGCACAGTGGGTGTTCCACTGCTGATGCAGTGAGCTCTAGCTGGAAAGTGGGGGTCCGTCATTTTAACCCGTAACCCCTTTGTGTTGTGCTAGGTGGCTGAGGTAGCATTTGCAGTTGAGGAAGCGTTCCAGACTACATTAAACATTTAAGATTAAAGATAAAATTAAAGAGTATAGGCTGGCCATGGAAAGCACCCAATGCTAGCATTCTTCATGTGTTTAAAAGCTTCTTTGAGTCCAAGTGTGCTTGTTTGTTTCCTATGTGTTTTGTGTGTGTGTGTGTGTGTGTGTGTGTGCGCGCGCGCGCGCACTTGCCTATAAAGGCCACAGTTTGTTATCAACTCTTTTACTTCTGAGTCCTTCTCTCTCTCTCTCTCTCTCTCTCTCTCTCTCTCTCTCTCTCTCTCTCCTCCCCGCGCTCTCTCTCTCTCTCTCTCTCTCTCTCTCTCTCTCTCTCTCTCTCTCTCTCTCTTTCTTTTTTTGACAACCCCTTTCATTGAACCTGGAGCTCACCAACTGTGTATATTGTCTGGCCAGTGAATCCTTGGGATTTGCATTTTTTTTCTGTCCCCAAGCACTGCACAGCAGATGGACAGCACCCATCTAGGCTTTTCCATGGATCTAAAAGGATACAAACGCAGGTCCTCAGGCTTTTACAGCATTTCCCCAGGTCCCTCTTCTCTACCCTGAAGTAACCACTTCTCATTTCCATGCAAGTTACGTCTCTGTGGGAAAGGCTGTGCAGTGGAGCCCTCTCTTCAGCCCCTGTTCTTCCTTGTATTTTTTTCCTCTGAATAATTCTGGCTCCATTTCAGAACTGAAAAATGAAGCAATGGATAGATCCATTGAATATGGATGTTGAGTACACACTGAATATATATCTCCCAACTTGAAACTTAAAAAAAAAAAAAACAAATTTTATTCTGCCAAAGAAAAGAGTCTGTTTATTCCAAATAGGACCTCCTAAAACCTGGAACAGATTAAAATAATTAAGAAGTTTAATGTTGTTTATTTTTGAGTCAACAAAGTAAAGTGCTGTTGAAAAACAATTCTATTCCTCAGAATCAGAAAAGAGAGAAACAGAATGTAATCCAATTGAGTCAGGCTCCAGTGAATATTTTGACCCCACCCTATCAAAATGCCCTGGACCACAGCAGGCTGTTAATAAAAAAGATGCCATGGTAACATCAATGAGGTAGGCTTTTGATGTTATTCATTGCACTGTAAAAGAAATGGTTGGAGGTGGAGAGATGGCTCAGCAGTTAAGAGCACTGACTGCTCTTCCAGAGGACCAGTGAACTGCTAATCTAATTAATCTTACAATAAAAAATAACTGGAAACAAATATCAGTGTTAAAAACCTGAAAGAGCAGAGCTTCCTACGTCTATCGTTCCTCCATCCAAGATGGCTGAAACTCTCTCTCAGTTCGCCTTACTACTCCTGTTTTCTCTCTGTCTACAGTTCGCCAAACCTTTATGGTCAGCTAATGGCTAGCTCTGCCCTCTGACTCCAGGCAAGCTTTGTCAGAACACAATTAAAATGTCACACAACAGACCAGGCTAATTTCCCAGCACCCACATGGTGGCTCACAACCCCTTCTGGCCTCCATGGGAACTACGTGCAAGCCAAACACCCATACACATAAAATATGTAATGAAAACAACAATTAAAAACGAACCACTCAGATACCATTTTGTTTCAAGCTGGATGATAATCTATAAAGCCCAGATGGGAGGCACATTTTGGAATAATTTTGACAATGTACAAAAACTGACTATAATTTTTCAAGTCCTTTAAAATATTGTAGAATATAAACAAGTTTATAGACAAATGGCAAGACATAAAAACTAACATGGGAGGTCTGGAGCGGTGGCTCAGTGGTTAAGAGTACTTACTGCTCTTCCAGAGAACCTGGGTTGAGTTCTTTGTACTCTCATTGAACAGCTCACACGGAGCATAATTCTAGGTTTGGGAGACCCAGTGCCTTTTTATGGCCTCCACAGGTACTCAAACAAACATGGTATACACATACATACACACACATATGTACATATAAAATAAAATAATCAACAAAGAGCAGATGTCATGATCCTAGTATAATAGATATTCTATATGTGTACATTTAATTTTTACAAGAACTTCAGGCACTCACCAGATTTTTTTTTTTTTTTTGTCAACTTGGCCCAAGCTAGGGTTATTTGGGAAGAGGAACCTCATTGTGAAAAGGCCTCCATGAGATTGACTTGTAGGTAAGTCTGTAGTCCATTTTCTTAATTAGTGATTGATGTTGGAGGGCCCAGCCCATTGTGGGTGGTGCCACATCTGGACTGGTAGTCCTGTATGCTAGACAAAAGCAGACTGAGCAAGCCTAAGAGACAAGCTAGCAAGCAGCACTTCTAAACAGCACTTCTCCGCGGTCCCTGCATCATCTCCTGCCCCCGGGTTCCTGCCCTGTTTGAGTTCTACCCTGAACTCCTTTGATATGGACAGTGAAACGGAAGTATAAGAAAAATAAGCCCTTCTCTCCCCAAGTTACCTATGGTCAAGGTGTTTCATCCCAGCAATGGAAACCCTAAACTAAACGCCTCATGACATGGGTATTCTTTATTGCCTTTTTACAGATGAAGAAACTAAAACTTGAATAGATGAACTTAGATGACTTCATATTCCAGTATATAAGAAGCCAGTCTTGGAAATCCAGGCATCCTGATTTCAGGGTTATGGGTCTCCACAACCGAGGATTAAGTAAAGCAACTATCTGTTCTCAACAGCATCACCAACCCCCCAATAATCAGGAATGTCAGGGCAGCCTGAGGCTGCTCTGAGGTAGATGATACTCATTCTCGACCTAAATAGGAACGAGGCTCTGTGGCAAAACCAAAGTAGGCAAAATACTGGAAAGAAGTTTAATTAGATAAGTAAGAGAACTTGAAGGGGATGCTCAAGAATACTCTGTCATTTGGAGACTCGGCTTTTTAACGTGTCCCTGATGAGGCTCCTTGAGGAGAGAGAGGACTACTCAGCACTAATCCAGTTTCATTCACAGCCGTGGAACACATACAGGAGGGCAAAGACGCTGTCAACACCTCATGGAGCAATGTGGAAGATTCCAACACAGGGCAGGTTGCTGTAAACAGACCCTCCGAGCAACACAGAGCTGGACAGTGTGGGGTGAGACAGGTCTGTCTCGGCTGCCCACACATTTGTCTCCCTGGCAAATGCTCCCAGCCGTTCTCATGTTAGTCACAGGAAGCTACGCAGGTAATTGAAAAATCACCTGGGTCTTAAGGGCTCCTATGTCTATTGTGTTTTTATCATTTCATCCTACAGCAGAGGAAACTGAGGACCAAGGGCACTAAGATGGAACCCGATGACCAGTGTGTGCAAACCTATTCCAAGCACATAACATGGTGTGGATAATCAGGCTTTGTCCTCTCGGGGATCCAAAGTGAAGTCTCAATGGGACCAGACTTCCCCAGTGTCACTTTCCTTATCTTATAAAGCTGGAGTCATAACTCCTCCCACCCTACTGTCATTATGACGAAAGTAGTAAATGCGTCTCTCTTTGTAAACTCTAGAGTGCACTAAAATTCACTTTGCTCTTCACAAGTAAGCAGAAACTCTTCACTGACAGCCAACTCTATCTTTTTCCATCAAGGTTTTGCAATAAGACCTTTGAGCAATTTTATTTTATCTGGTTCTGAATGTTCCTTTCCTCATATCTCATCCTTTTCCTTCTTAAAATGTGCCTCTTATTTTAGTTAAGAGCAAATGTCAAACAGTTTTAGGTTTACAGAAAAAAAATGAAGAAGATTTTGCAGAACTCCCATGTGCACAGCTGCCTGCCTAGTCATTTTTTCTCTTTGTGAGTCTTCCTTGGGGCACACAGATGTGTGGGGCTTGCCTTCCATCTCAGCACAGAAAAGAAACATCTTAGTCTTCCCCATTCCTCTTCCATTGTTGTTATCTTCCACATCAAAGCAAAACTGCCAAAACTGCCCCACAAATGGCTTTCCCTACTCCGAGCCTGTTATTTCGATCACCCACTGAGTCAGGGTTGCCCAAGTCCTCTTGTGGTATAGGATCCAATGATAACTTCCCTGTCTTCATCTCATTTTTCTCTCGTCATCTGGTTTCACTCTCTTCCATACTGAAATCTCCTTTTTCCTGCTCCTGCACTCCACAGAGTCCACTGTTTGCCCTTTAATCTCTTTGGCCACCTAGTTTTCTGCCCCGTCTCTGAAGTTTGGCGTGTCTCTGCACATGGTTAGCGTTGCTTCCCTTATCTCTATTCTGTCTTTAGGCGATCTCACCTGGTTTTGTAGTTTCTATTTCCCTTATAGCCTGAGCGTCTACCCTGATATTCCGGTCCACATCTCTACTTCGAGAACATAATCACATCTTCACTTGCTAAGTTCAAACCTCTGCTTCACTGTCTGAGAAATATCTCAAGTTGTAAATAATCAAGCAAGAACTCCTTATCACTTGGTGCCCCCACCTGTTCCTTCCCAAGGCCCCACGTCAGAAATAGCGCTGTAAGAATGATCATTAGAGATGTCTCAATTTTCAAAATTGAGATGAATATTCTTCTACATATTTCTCATTTTCCCAGCACCCAATGATCACGTCTCAAAAGCCTCGTGATGCTATGCTTGATAGCTGTTAGCTGGGAGCGGGATGTCACAAGAAAGATACTTCATTTTCTTGAGGTTTCATTTTGAAGGCCGGAAGCTACTTCCGAGTCTTCAATGCTTAGGTCATCTACTTCTGGCTCCTTAACTGCAATGGAATTTGTTTAACAATAGCATAATATGGAGTTCCCATATCATATTGGACATTGGCATGCAGCCCTCCATGCAGACAGAGCACCAGAGATGGACTACATAGTGGCACTCCAAGGAAGTCCACCTGTGGTTCAGATAAGGGCCCTTATCTGGTTAATCATCACAAATCCTTGCTGATAGTGGATAAAGTCTTGATGTGCCATTGTTTGTGCGAGAAAGGTTTGGGGGTTGCCTGAGTATGAAAATGTAAATAGAAGAATCAACCATGACCCCCAGGCTTTGGGTCTAAGCCACTGAGAGAATGCTTGTGTCATTTAGAAGGAAAGTTTATGCTGGAAGAGGACAGGATGTAGGGCTTCATTGCAGTCTGACTTGTTCAGGAATATTTTGAACATTCTAAGGCAGAGATGCCCTTGAAAATTTCAAGGACAATGCTCAACAGGCAGCTAAAGATTCAGGTAGAACTGCCAAATTGTTTACTAAAACTGACAATAAATAACAATATATCTGGAGATGGGAAAATTTGTCTTCTGAGATGTGCACCGTGGAATTCAATAACCATATAAAAGGCTAAGTATTATACTATTTCGACAAATCTGTGCATTTGTTGTCTCTGATTATAAAAAAAATTTTTTTCTTCCTTTGGGAGGAAAGATCCTTCTAAAAACCAGAAGAATCCATAAAATGCCAAGCAAGTCAAAATGACCCGCCCACCCATCCCACCTTCTCTCCTAAGGTCTCTTGCTTTCTCCTTTCAGTGTGAAAACAGACAACCATGTCCCCCAAGGGGAGGCGGTGGGGGCACATAAATAGAGTTAAATCCTAACAACACAGCCCAAAACATTTCCTCTGAACTCATGCGCAATCTCACTTCATCTCCGCTGTGACTGAGGCCTCTGGTAAAGAGTTTACACATCTGGGCTTGATTTAAACATCATTGAGCAACACGGGCTCTGTCATTAGATCAAACGCAATGCTTTCTTTGGGTTCCGTGTCCTTTTTGGAGAGAGAGAGAGGGCTTTCTCTATGGGGA